CGTACAACATAATTTGACTTTCGAAAAGCTTCTACTTATTTTCTGATGTGGTATAAATATATTGAACTGCGTTGGATAAATTACAAAATTCCACTAATAGTTACTTTCCGACGAAAACAAATTGTATTAGAAAAGTGTTAGAGCTGAATTTTAATCTGCCACGTGTCAACATGTTATAGGTAAGAAGACTCGGGCCATCATAATGGCATATTCGGAAGACTAAGTCCTTGAAGGTAGAGTAAATCACTCGAACCTCACTAAAGGTCGAGTCAAAGTTAAAGTTATTGGTCATCCAGGGCTTCCAAAAGGTCAAGCTGACCAATGAAGATCACATTAGCTCACCCTCACAAGGGCATATATTACATTGTTTTCTGGAGCCAACAATTGTTTCTCTGATAAGATGTCGTGATTTCTAAGACATCGAAAGCTTAATCTCTATCATTTATAAATCGAGAATTACGCGACACTTATCCTCAAATTGAGTATAGATCGGACCAAAGTTAAATTGAGCGTCAGAGCTGTTTACTCTTTCTGTGTAGGTTTTCTTCGTTCATCGACCTCCTTCAAGTCTGAAGTTTATCGACCTCCTTCAAGTCTGAAGTTTATAGAATTGAATCTTGATCAAACAAAAAGTAGTCCTGAGTTACTTCAAATCTGAGTTAAGGGAATTGAGCTGCTTATGAAATAAATTAACAAGGCATTTTATTTGTGGGTTTGTATGGGTTGTAGTCGAAAAGTTTAGATTTATAAATGTTGTATGAATCTAAATTATGCATGAGTTAATTTATTTTATAAACCTTGATTTGTCTAACCTAAATTTATGTATAACTTACTTTCTAGAATAAATTACTACTAATATGCCAAATGCATATATTCAAATTTCTAATTTAAAATTAATATAAACTCCATGCAAGATCCCTAACATTATAAAAACTATGGTTATAATGGTAGATAACCAAAATTTTGTCTTAGAAGTCTACATAAAAAATCAGCCTTCAAACTAGAAAACAATAATAATAGTCATGTGAAAGTGAAACAAATATTTTAATTAAAAAAACAAAAATATATATCTTTTGTAGAACTTGACATCATACACCTCTCATTCACACTAAAATTTCAACGGCTTCGCTTCCCAAAATATATCAATTAAATTAGAAAATGGTACATTCAAGATATAGAAAATTAAAGGTCAAATTTAATTAATTAACTTTTTATAAGGTTAATAATGAGTTAATTTATACTTCATTAATAACCCACCAAAACTATTAAGTTTCTCAATGGTTTTCTACCAACAAAACAACAACGCTTAGGTATGTTAAGGCAATACACTAGTATATTTTCATTGACCATGAGACCAACACCAAAGTTCGGTCTTTAAATTAAATCTTTTAATTGCTTGGAGAGGTAAATTTGGATTTAGCGGTCAATAGATATGAAGGGGAGGGCAAAGTATAGAATGGAACTAGATGGATGCTTGCATTAACGGTTATGGTGCCAAGAGAGAAAGTCGAGGCCACAATGGAACATGCATGAAGCGACCGATTTTTTCACGTCAACTAATTCATCCCTAACTATATGGTTTAGGTCAAATAATGGATCAACGATGGTAGCAACAATAGGTGAAAAGCATTCACATAGTAATTTAACTCGACCAATTAAGGCGTAAAATAACCTTAATATATATATATTTTTTATTTTATGTATTTTTAAATATAATACAAACTATGAAATTTTATATAAAAAATGGCATAAAAATTTAAAAATTAGAAAAGATAATTGACGATCTGAGTGGCAGCCAAGTCGCGTAAGGAAGCAACAAATCGGCTGTTTTTCTTTCGTTGACATGAAATGGTCAACTCTTCGATTTTATTTTAATTTTTATTTTTCTAGGGGAAAAAACCCTTCAAATTTTTTCTGCTCAAATTGGAATTTGAAGAAGAAAAAAACAAAAATATTTAAAAAGCAAACAGATTTGAAATGACAATTATTGAAGAACAGCTAACAAAGACACGGTTTTGTTGTACAACAAATCCACATGCCACATTTTTGTTTTTTACTTCTTTCAATTAAACAAAGATTTATGGGATAAATAAAATTACAAAGACCCTTAATTTCAGATTAGTTAGTCAAGTGAATCATGTGGTAGGACTCAATTTTCTCATGCATTTTGATATAATATCAGTTGATATAAATTTTTTATTTCAATTTAGACCAATTTCAAGATTTTCATATACTTGATATTCAAGTACTAGAAGTATTGTCCAAACAAGGTATAAAGAAAGGGTTAATTATTTTTGTTTTAACCTCAGCATAATTTTAGTATCACAATTAATCTTCTCCTCTTCAATTGTTAATATTCTACGAAAATAAATATATGGTGTATTTTGGCAAAGTAATTCTATTAAAAGTTTAATGTTAATTAAACGCCTAATTATCTTTTATTATTCGCAGATATTTGAATTTTATTTTTAAAAATATTTTTACAATGGTATAGCCTGGATATAAAGGAAACCCTTTTTAAAATCATTACTAATTGATTCTCACTCAAGTTACTATTTGTTTAGTATAATGTCAAGAAATGTTTATGGGTCTTCAAGCATTAATTTCCAACAAAATTAAAATAAAATCAAGAGTTGAATTGTCTTATTTGTTAATTAATAGCTAGTGTTGTGTAAGATAAAAACTATTCAAATTTCGTAAAATAATAAAGGATGGTTATGAAAATAAAATAAAGAAATGTTTTTGGAAAATAAAATAAAATCAAGAGTTGAATTGTCTTATTTGTTAATTAATAGCTAGTGCTGATAAATTACTTTTCCCTTCTTAAATGCTTCCAATTTAAGGTTGAAAGTTCATACTTAGAATAAATGGTTTCCTCTTTTTCAAGATTAATATTGCGTTCTTAAGGAAAAAAAAAAAAGAACTTAGCTTCAAAGAGAATGTTTGGATCCTAGGTGTTAAGTTTTTACACCAAATTGGTTTAAATCTTATTTTAGTCATTTATATTTTTGATATTTGTCTCTTTTCATTTAAGATAAAGGAGTAGAAACCACCACCAAAACAAAAAGAAACTAAACAGAAATGAGAGGGATACACCAAAAAAGATACTTCTCCTTCCTTTTTTCGAAGGAAAATGAGGATCCGAACAAAATGGATAAAACAAAAGAAGATCGTAGTAAATAATGGAAAGAAAAAACAAATGATAAATTACACTTTAAAATTAAGGGACGTTCTATCCGAATATAAAAAGATTGTTTCGTGAAGTGTGACCATTTTGGTCATTTTATTCATCTTTTTTTTCTCGACGAAAATTACAACACAACACTGCACCTCAATAATTTTTTAAACTATTATCAAAATTTTATATTCAATGATTTTTGTTGAAATTTGAAAACAAAGACACCCACTTTTGGAAATCAAAGAATTAAAAAATATATTTTGAAAGTATAGAGAAAGTTTCACATACAGATGTTGAAAATATTAAAACCAAAATAAAATTTTGAAGTATATATAGATTAAAATAAATAAAAACTTAAAATAAAGTTACCAAAATATTATTTAAACCTAAATTTACTAAATTAGTTTACTAATTCCCCAAATACTTCATAAACCGAATTTTTGTTTATATCAAAAAATAAATAAATTAATTAACCGAATTTTTGTACTACAAAAAAGGGAAAAAAAAGAATCTAAAGCTCAGCCTCACTTAAACTCCAAATAATTTACAGATTAAACACATATTTCTAAAATTAAAATAAAATAAAAAAAATAAGAAAAAACTTTTTTGTACAACATATTTCTAAAATTCATTCTCTACACAAGTTTTCTCATTTCTTTAGATTATTAATCGATGAACCCGACTCCAATCTTTTATTAAAATAATGATAATAATAAAATATTTTAGTCAAAATGAAAGAAGAAAGAAACATCAATTTCTTAATTAATTATTCTCTCAATCCCTCATCTTTCTTTTTTTATAAGCAGAAACGCTAAAAGCCAAAATATTTTCTGCTGCCAAACAGCCTGTGACCAAAAACTTCAAGCAACCCAAAGGCTCGTTTTGAAAGAAGAAAAATAAAATTAAAAAGACATATATATAAAAATAATAATAATAATAAGGTTAAACTACCAGTTTAATCTATAAACTAGTGACATACTTGCTTTTAATTTAGTCTTTATTGTTTAAAATTTTCAATTTGATCCATATAATTTGGTTAGATCTCTCAAAACTTCCTTAACATTCGTCAAATTGACAGTTTATCTTATTTGGCATATTGTATTTAAATACATTGAACGTTTTCTAAGGCTCTCTTCATTTACTCATTTACTCTTGACACGATTAATTAATATACATTTCATTTAATGAAGCCTACTCTTAAATGCTACTAATATGACTAATACTAAATGGGAGTAGCATAAAAAATTTTCAAGAGCTCATTCCACCATAGATCAGATAAGGTACTTATTACCATTTTAAAGTTTGATGGTTTGATCTTTATCCTTGCTCTATTGTTGGAAAAAAAAAATGATGGGAACAAAATCAAAATTAATAAAACCATAGGAATTAAAAATCAAATAAAAAATCACAGGAGTAAAATAGTAATTTAACATTATAATAATAATAATAATAAAGTATATAAAATATCCAGGTTGGTTTTTAGTTGTACCGCGTAGAGGCGTGTCGCCCCAGAAGACGCCACCGCCCGCCCACAATGCCCTCGACGCGTACAAAATTCCATACATATAAATACATCCCTTCACTTTCTTCTTTTTCCCAACTCCTCACCTCTCTCAAACTCTGCAACTAAAATTCAATCTTCTTCTTCAAAATGTCCAAGAAAAACAGTAATGTGGGTCGTAGGGCATGGAACCTTCTGCGTCTAGCAATCATCTGGGCCAGAAAAGGCGGAGTTTTCAAGCGGAGGTTTCTCATGGACTTCCGCCTTGTGCCCAAGTTCATCAAGAGTCTCGGCCACGAGGCCACGCCTCGTGGCCATCTGCATTATGGCGAGCATGAGCTCTCCTTTGACGAGACCTCGATTTTCAACGTCAAGATGCACCGCCCGGCCTCCTTGCGCTTCCACTTCCCCTGCATTACCGCCCCGCCTGTTGACTTCGAATATGAGTTTGATGGCGACGGTGATAGTGATGGCAACAGCGATGAAGTTTGTAGCTACGAGGAAGGGCGGAGGAGTTCGGGATACAGTGGGGACGAGGAGAAGGAGGAGGAAGATGGGATTGATCTGAGAGCTGAGAAGTTCATAGCTGAGTTCTATGAGCAAATGAAAATGCAAATACAGATTTCTTCTTCGCAATGTGTTCAGAATCTTTGAATAAAATAAGGGTTTTGGTGATGGATTTTTGGGAGTTGTTTTCAAATTACTTATACAAGACAATATGTTTTCTTTTCTTGAAGTTTTGTGTAAACTTTTTTTTTTATTTTTCGAAATTTGTTTGTAAATACCGGAAGCTTCCACCTGAGATGTACAATTTGCTTGAATAAAGAGAGATTTTGATTCGCACAATCCCTTCTCCTAACACAATATTTTGTAGGACATTTTGAGTTGATCTTTTAAGTTTAATCGCTCAATTTCGTTCTAACTTCTAAGCATGATCTTACTTTTATTCACAAACCATTAGCATTGCTTATTTCATTTTAGTCTCTCATCAAAGGATTTAATTTAAAGTACTAAGCATCCAATGACCAATTTCAAGCTAAAATCAATATTCTATAACTTTTGGGAACCAAAACAAAAATTAGACTTAAAACTCCCAAGATCAAAACCATATTTTGTGTTTTTCAAGTTAAACAAAAGCATGAACCTTCAATCATAGGAAATATAATAAGTATCTTATCCACTTAGATATGTTCGTGTTTTTTAGAAAAGATCACTAGGTCATCGTCATAGACTTGAATTGAATGAATTTAATCAATGCACAAAAATTAGAATGCAAATCAAGACAATACGATCTGCATAAAATGCACAAAAATACCAAACTTAAGCCGAGTTCTACTTGATATTTGGTTTAGGATACAATACTTTTCAGTTTTCCACACTCTGTCTCATCCATATTACACCTAAAATCAAGATTCCCAGTATGCTAGAGAACTAAATTGTATGGGGGGAAAATTCAAAACTTCACCACCTAGTTCAGCTTTCTGCCAACTCAGAGGATGTAAAAAGGCTATAATTGCAAAGAACACAATCTTCTGTATCCCACCACAATTACCCTTATAGTCTTTGACACGACAACCTTAAAACGTACAGCTACAGTATAAGTACCTCGTACTGGAGTTCCATCCTCATAGTACACATTTGGCCCAGCAAAAAGAATCAAGTTCCTTTTCTGCAAGATCATTTTGGATACATGGAAAGTCAAATATTTAAAAAGGGAATTAATCGCTTTAATATGAATCGCATATTCTCAAGCACAAGACACGTAAGTGTACCAAAGGGAGGGGGGAAATCTGATCATCATAATGGAGTAATGGGTCAAAAAAAATGCTTTTGCCGATTCAGATATAAACTAGACAGTTGATAACTTTTGATCATCCCCATCATAAATGGAGAAACCAATAGACACTGCTACCAAAGAAATAAACAGAAATTATAAATTTATATACAGATGAAGTTGGTTTACCTTGAAAGAATGTTGGAGAAACTAGTGAACCTTCAAAAAACTAGCTTCCATTTTGTTGCTTTTCAAGATATGTGTCTAACTGGCCGATCGCAGCCGCTATAAAACCTTCATAGTGTTACAAGTTAATATTAGATCATGATTTTAATAGCAAAGAGAAATAATATCTTGTACTATAAACAGAGATACTAGAGAAAAATAAGTAAATTTGTACAAGGAAGTCGATTACAATTCTATTCTATTCCCTAAAAGTAAAGGTCTCTAGTTCATGAGAATATTATTGCATGGTTTCAATATTTTCAAGTGATCCAATTTCTCTCTCACGAATGCATGAACTGCTTCTCAAATTCACCAACTGGCAAAATTAGCAAATTATCAGACATTCAAACCATATTCTAGAGCAAAGACCCATGGACTTGATAACTTAGAGATCAACAGAAGTATTATTCCTCATCCAGTCACTACCCTGAAATACCTACCTTCATATTCATTGGCCATCAAATTAAATCGCTCACATTGATAAATAATAACACTTAAGAGGTAAGGTAAGCATAAAGTATTGAAATGCTACAAGATTTGTCATTGCTGCTGTTAATGATAGTTCTTTTTCATTTTAATGGGAGACAAGATAAGAAGATTCACGAGATATTCTAATTAAGAGATGAAAGAAGCTGACAAAGAAGTAAGTTTAAAATAAATTTTACCTAGAAAGACAGGCGATGGCCTCCTGGGCCGTGATTTAAATTCTGGATGAAATTGTACACCCACATAGAAGGGATGACTTGGAAGCTCTAAAATCTGAAGAAATACGGAAAATTTCAAATATCAATACTCATTTGATTCAGAATAGGAATGAACTATATCACTTTATGACTTGATATTGCCGATGCAATTAACACCAATCTAATTTGGCACCTGAAGATGAGTGAAAACTAGCAAGTCTCACAAATGAGAGCAACCTACCTCCATTCTATTTCCAGTCTCATCCTTCCCAAAAAATTTCAGGCCAGCTTCTTCAAAAGTCCCGATAAACTCTGGGTTTACCTGCAATGTAATGATTTTTACTCATGCCAATCCTTCTTTTCTCTATTCAACACTTAAGATGCAGCCAGCTAATTTTTTAAAGTCTACCTCATATCTATGCCGATGCCGTTCATCCACATATTCTGGGTTATGATACCTGTCAATCAAGGAAAAAGTAAACTGAGCGGGATAAATGCTACAAATAAATATGCCAAGTGCAAAAGATATAAAATCTTTTTGAACTGAGTTGAATAGGAACCATAACTAAACCACCCTATTTGTTGCTGTTGGCTTGAAGAAGAGACAGGGTACTACCAAGTTAAATAGCTAACTGATCCTAGTCATACTCATACAGATACTTCCATAAAGTTTTTCCAACAAGTAATAACAGGGTGAACTGAACTCATCATTATGCACAAAAACATGGTAAAAGAAATAAGAAACCACGTACAGCTTTGAAGTAATGCAGTCAGCAGTCTGGAATATTGTTCTTCGAGATCCTAATCTCATAGTGCTTCCCATATGTGTCTTTGAACCCTACACATGAATCCGGAGGGAATCAAGTCCTAGTAGATTATACATTTTAGAAGTAAAAGTAACTTAGCAGTAAGCAACATGCAAATTGTCTTAAAGAAATTAGCACCTCGGGCATAAAAATAACGACTGGATTTGGTGTCTCATCATCAAACTCATTACTGTTTGCCCTTTCCCAACCCAAAACCTATGACAAAGCAAACATATGAAGGATGGGATAGCACCGACTGAAATTTAATGGGAAAAAAATTGGTTAAAAATATACTTACAGTTCTAGCAAATTCAATTACAGATATCTGCATTCCCAAGCAAATCCCAAGATATGGAACTTTGTTTTCTCTGGCATAATTTGCAGCCAATATCATGCCTTTTACACCCCGATCTCCAAATCCTCCGGGAACCAAGACACACGATGCTCCCTGAAAGAATAGATTATCAAGGGATATGAAAGGCTTAAAACCAAATGTCAAACAAATCCCTCCCCCTTCGTCCAGCTCTTAAATATACCAACATGAAGAATTTGGGACTTTTAATATTCCATTTTCAATAAATAACTAAATAAGTCAAACCAAATTCAAAACCAGAATTATTGAAAATCACATTATAAAAACACAAATTAACACAAATAAAGTGTCATAAAAAAGGAAGGGGATACCCCGTTTCAAACTTAACTTTACAAAGCAATTGCAGAGATATTTTTATAACCATTCCCTCAACTGAAAAGGCTACTTAAACAATTTGAACAACAAAAAAATTCCACCATCATCAACAAAGTTTTGACATGTATGCTAATAAAAGGCAGTATATGTGAGATTACGCAGGGAAAACCACTAAATATGTAAAACGTGATAATGATTTATAAGAAAGAACAATCAGTGTTGCTAAGTAAAAGAAGAAATATGGCATAACTTTTAAGCGCAATAAAAAAGGTTCCAGGAAAAGCCTACCCTCAGAGTCTCCCATGCAGCAGCATGTGCTTCCGGTGTCTACAAAAGAACAATACATTATTTAAATGATGGAATTCTGGACTAATGGAACACATTTTATGATGCCTTGTACACAAAAAAAATACCGATTTGGAACTTTCATCTTCAAGATCAGTAGCTGCAATCCAATCAATTGATGGCTTCAAAGAACAAGCAACGCATGCATGAAGAAGGGCCTGCAAAATTAATATAGATCCCAACAGTTTCATACAAAAGCCACAACATACAATGGTTTCTTACTATTTATAGCTAGAAATTAACAAAACTTCCTAACAAATTAAATAATACTCATTTTGCAGTTAAAATGAGCACAATTTAATAAATCCTTATATAATCTAAAGCAGGTAACAAAAAAAAATCTAATAAATTTTGAAATCTTGGACACAGGCTCACAGTTATGCATGTAGAAAAGTTGATTTCTTTATGAAAGTACTAGAATAGCACCTTCACAACAGAAAGGTATGAATCTGTCAAGCCAACATACTTCCCTACCATTGCAATTCTCACCTACAAAACCAAATTATTAATATCCCATAGTTCGCAAAAAACATGTATACATAAGTTGCCACTTCAGTTAAACTTACTGAATTCGTGAGATTATCATAAGTTGCAGCCATATTTGTCCAATCACGCAGATCAGGAGCCATATCATTGCTGGGACAGAACATAAAAGCTGTTAGCATGCATAATCAAGGTACACTTAGTTTAAGCTACTTAAAACATATGTTAAACAACTTTTATTTCAATACATCAAATATTTTCAATTAATTATCTGTTCTCCTAAACTAGTTAATACATATAATGTCTTTGAGGGGCAACATACACTAAGAATAAGTTTCTTATTTTTATAAATGGAGAGGTTCACAAAGAAAAGAACATCAAGTGAAGTGAGGCAGATTTTATAATAATAATAATAATAATAATAATAATAATAATATATAGGAAAGTATAATTATACCTTAAAATAGAATAACACACTTTATAGTTATTAGATATACAATTCAAACAGTAATCTATATGTCATAATGGGTAGATTTCAAAGCGACCAATTGAATTCTTAAGAAGAATAAACTCCTCAAGTTGATCTGTTCTCTCAAGTCTCAAGATGAAGCTGAAATGTCAGCTTTCCAAAAGAGATATATAGAAACTACCTGAGCAAGTTGAGTTGTTTAAGAATTGAATGATGAGCATTCTGGTTCTGCGACAAACACACACCCAAGAAACAGTAAGTGAAATTTCCAACGAAATGCAACATAGCCATACACAGACATAGACATACTATACATACACATAGGCATACATACATATATATATATACACGTACATATATATTGCCATGGATATGTGTCTGTACATGTGTGTGCCGTGTGTGCCATGTGTGCATGTGTGTCCGTCTATATGTATGTATAACACCTACCCTAAGCAAAAGTGGAATGTGCCAGATGTTTGGGACATCGTGGATGTTGAGAATATTACCAGTCTGAAAATAGCTCAACAAAGTTATGCGCATAAAATTAGTAATCAATCATGAAAACATTATTCCATCCAAAAATAAAAGTCTCAATTAATAACTTACTGGAACATGGCAAAACTGTGAAAGCTTCTCCTTCGTATTTTCCAGTATAGGCTACATACAATCCAAAAGAAAAACCTTACGATACCTTGAAATATCAAACCATTATAATGAATGTGAAGGACAAAATTTTAGTCATCATTTACTAAAAATTACAGTTCAAGTAGCGCATGGTCCAACAAATTGTCGATAAAATAACTACCAAATTTAACACAAGACCATAGTACATATAACCAAACCAGCATGTCCGTGCAATAGCAGTGCGGGAAAAAAATTAAAATGAACCACGGTGACCATTGACAACTCATACAATGATGCTAAAGGAAGAAAACAAAGTCATTATCAAATGAATGGTGTGGTGCATTTTGGAGCCTCTTATTATTTGTATTTGTTGGTAACAAAATGTACCTGAGCAGATCGACATGCCAGCAGATGTGGAGTTAAGCCTAAAGCTCTCAGTTCTCGAACACTGTGTTGTGTAGGCTTCGTTTTCTGTGTTTTAAGACAGATAGTGAGAACTACATTCATCATGGCCATGGGATGGAGAAAGAAAATTAATAACTAGCCTAGATATCTGAGCACAAAACAGAAACTTTATACAAACAATTTGTACATGATTAAAAGATAGATTATTACTTGCTCTCCAACAACTCCCAGCACTGGTATTAAGCTCACATGGATAAGGCAGAAGTTGTCTGGACCTAATAATCCAATTAAAAATTGAGATGATGAACAGCTATTGTTTCTAAGAGCTTGACCAACAACTATTGCCTTAAGAGCTATATATGGCTAGCCTGAAGTGCTTATCGAACGTACAGAAAAAGTATGCATTGTAATCTTACCAACTGAAAAGGACAGTTGTCGCAAAGCTTCAATGAACGGCATTGATTCAATGTCACCTTAAAAAGAGCACTCAAATTTTATTTCGTGGAGAAAAGAACATAAACAGTCAAAAATTTTAGCAGGGAAATGCTCTGACTAATGTAGTTGTTAGGTTACCTACAGTCCCTCCCAATTCTATCACACAAACATCAGCAGAGCCCACTTGGCCATCCACAGGAATGGTAGCTACTGACTCAATATGATTTTTAATGGCATCTGTGATGTGTGGAACCACCTGTATTCGGTGAAATTATAAAAATAATAACAATAAAAAATAAAAATTAGTCTGGAAAGGTCAATAGTGGCATCTGTGCGAGGAAAAGTAAAACTAGCAGCATAATGCTAAATAAGAAGCATCACCTGAACGGTCTTCCCAAGGTAATCGCCTCTTCGTTCCTTCTCAAGAACAGCCTGATAAAATTGAATAGATTGAATCAATTAGCAATACATAGAACTTCTCTACTTGACACCAATTAGCAAGCTATTGAACTCGTAATAGATAAATATGAACTTGAAACAAAAATCGTTTCAATAACCTGATATATTTTTCCCGTAGTAATATTATTCTCTCTTGTCAATGTTAAATCTAGGAAACGTTCGTAGTTTCCAAGGTCTAAATCAACCTGAAAAGAGAAAATAAATAGTAATTAATCCAATCCATTATACACCATACTCAAAATGGAAACACGCAGACTCATTTTTGTATGGCTGGAATGGAAGATACCTCACCGCCATCATCAAGAACGAAAACTTCCCCGTGTTCAAAGGGAGACATTGTACCAGCATCCATATTCAAGTACGGATCTGAAAATTCAAACGCAAGAAAGCATCAAGAATCATAGTTGAACCATAACCGCTTGTCCTGTCAATTATTAACTTAACCAGACATGCACACCGTCCCCAGACCACTGAGAAGCAATCGGACAAAAAAGAACAAACTACGCTTAGCAAGAAAGGGTAAAAGACTCGTCAATATAACTTAGAGAACACAAGCGTACGTCGATCTTCCAGAATGAGTACATTTCCAAGCAAAATGAACAGAAACGAACGAAGAATGCAGCAATACTGCTCCAAAACAAACAAACAAGCTCGCAAAGGAACCAAAAAGGAAAAACTCATAAAAGCAACATTACAGAGTTCCAGTAACAAAATGCGGGAGGAATCAAAGAACACAAGAACGCAGCATATGAAACAATGGTTGTACATTGAAAACAAGAAGCAAAAAGAAGAAGAGAACCGATTTTGATGGAGGTGACTCGCAGGCCACAGGCTTTGAGGACGAGGCCAATACTGCTGGCGGTGACGCCCTTGCCGAGGCCGCTGACGACGCCGCCGGTGACCAAGACGTACTTCATTGCGGCGAGAAATGGAGAGAAGGATTAAGAGTTGTTGGCGCCAACGTCAAGATTGAAGGAAGAAGAAGAAGAAGAAGGTGGGAGGTTCGGCTTTGTTTGGTACCAGCTTTTATACTAAACCTAGAAAAAGACCCAAGTAAAGGGGTTTTGACTCTGCACTCAACAACTCTCACACTCCAAAAACCTTTTTCACTGCGTTCCGTTTTACACGAAACAGAAAATCAGTTTTTTCCTTTCTTTTCTTTTCTTTTCTTTTCTTTCTTTCTTTTCTTTTTTCTTCTTCTTCTTCTCTGGTCGAAGCTAATCTCACCGTGAGCTTGAACTCGTAAGAAATCACAGACTTTTTATATTAAGCTCGTAGAAAGGTTTGAATTTAAATCTCTAAACCAGTATGATCAAAAGACTTCCAATCTTCATTTATTAAGCGGACTGTCGGTATTATAGTAATATATTAATTATTAATGTTTTTTTTCTTTTTTACTACCTTACCACGGTATGAAATATTCACGTTTAAATTAAAAATTATAATGACGATTACAAAAGTTTCAATTTAGTCTTCATTATTTAGACTTGGCTTCAATTTCATCCGTGTAATTTTAAATGTATCATTTGGTATTTATAATTTAGTTAAATTTCATAAGTCATTATTATATTGTATTTTATTCGCTTGAAAAACATACTTACTTTCATTTATTTTTTTTACTAACCCTAAACTTCAATCCACTCACTTAACATATTTATCCAAATAGAAATTCCTTGGCTGAAAACAAAAAAATAGTAATAGATAATGTAGAGTTTGACTAAATGATATGGACTACATTGAAACTAAATCCAAATAATAGAGATCGAATTCAAGCTAAGTTCAAATCGTATATGCTAAATTTGAAACTTTTAAAATCATATGAATCAAATTCAAACTGTACGATCAAATTTTAAAACAATAGTGTATAATAAATAAAGTAGGGTAAAAAGTTACGGGCAATGACAAGAAGAAAATCCATTATAATCATCTCGAACTTTTCTCACGTAAATTTCGAATGATTTTCTACCATAGGTTCTACCGGCCAGTACAAATAAGCTTAGCTATCAAACAAATCTTATAGCCACAAGTTATTTATATTATTTAACATAAACTAAAACATGGTAAAATGATTAAAATATGAACAACATTCTCTATATTCTCATTCTCATCATTGTAACATTATATTTAAAAAAAAATGATAGTGGTAAAAAAAGAGTCTTAATTTATGTAAACAACTAAAATGGAGAGTACAAAAGAATATTTCATTTTGAAATTTTTACAAACCATTTAAAAAAATGTTATTGAAATATTAACTAATCCTTCAAAAGGTTCAAGATCAATTTAGAGAATTCAAAACATCTCAGATAAACTTTAAAGAATTTAAAGGTGAGACACTGATGGACAGAGAAAAAAAATATATTAACTAATAGAACACTTTTTAAATTGATGTGTATTTGATTTTATAATACTTTTGGCCATGTTTTACTGATGATTTAGTTGGATGCTTTTCGTACCCAGTCAAAGTAAAATCTAGGTTAAAATATTACATTTTCGTCTCTATATTTTCTAACTTTAGTAATTAACTTTAATGACTGTACTTTCAGAATATTCGTTTGGTAGGTTGTAATTTTAAAAAGTGATTATTTTAGTCCCTTAATTTTATTTTTAATATCATTTTTTCTATCACAACACAACACTACACTCAATATTTTTCATAAATTGAACTATTATTTTATACTAAATAGTTTTCGTCATGTGTATAATTTATGTTTGAAGGACTAAAATGATCCTTTTCTAAAAGTAGAACGACTAAAATAAATATTTAAAACATACAATGACGAAATAAATCAAGACTAAAATGAATATTTTAAAAGTAGAAATATTAAAATGAACCAAAAGTATAGGCATATTATCGGTAACTCATAAAGAGGTATTGAAAAGAATAGTATAAAAAGATGACAGTGGATAAGTCCACTTTTTAAAAATCCGAAAATCAAAGTTATAATGGTTATTAAAAAGGTTATTTTGTTTTTTGTGGTTTTTTTTTTTTAAATTTTTTCTTTTGGTGGATGGGTGGGGGAATCGGATCTTATTTTAAAATGTTATAGTGGTAAAGTTGCAAAAGAACAAGCTTCCATGGGGAGGCTTTTAGAATTATAAGAAAAATCCACCAAGTTTGAAAAAGAAAGGCATTACTCCAAAGAGAATAAAATCTTTTAGCTTTCCTTTTTTTTTTCTTTTTTTCGGGTGAATATTTGTTAGCTGTGATGATGATAAATCATCAAATATTGGTTGGTAAATAATTACAGATTATTATTAAAAATTGAAAAAATAGTGTCTTTTTATCTTACTAGTCAGAAACACGTGCGAATTTCATAGTTTTATTTTAAAGTTTAAAAGTATAAAAATTAATTAAACAATTAAAAAGTTTACTACAATTTGACTTTTTTCTCTCAACGTTTTTATCTCACAACATGTTATTCTCCACTTATGCCGTTGTAGTAAATCCCATCACCCAAATTTAGTGATTAAAAAAATTGAGAAACATTGTTATTTAAAAATTTTTCATAAGTGAAATACACCAAGAAAGAATAAATAATTTAACACATATTCTTAAATTTTCACCATTTTTTTGTTCATAAAAATAACAATTTCTAAAAGAAATAAAATTTTATGTTGATTTCTTATTTGAGTCATTGAAAATAAAGTAAATATGTCACTTTTGGGTTTTTCTAATAAATTACTTATTGTATATAATAAATCTTCTATAAAAAGTAACAATTATTCACGTTGCATTATAATTAAAATAAAAATTAAAAATTGAAAGTTCAAACAATCTAACTAAAATAAGAAAAAAAATCAAGACATAAGGAAACATTCTAATGAAAAAAAAGAAAAACTCAAGTTTTGGCTGACAAAATATTAGAGAAATAATAAAAAAATAACAATTGTTTATATAACTGTAGGGGAAAGAGTTCCCAAACTTTTCAACTTTTCAACTTATTAATTATAATTATAAATAAGCCATAACTTTTTTTAATGTTTTTTTTTTCCGAAACATCAACTTTTTTTTAATTAATTTATAGAAATAAAACTTTACACATTTTAATTCTGTAAAATTTTATTATTAATTATAATTAAAAACAACTATAATTTTTTCAATTAATATTATAGAAACAAAGAGACAAAACTTGACCTACCCTATCTTAATTTTTAATATTATCACTCTTTATTTTTACTCAATAATTAATAGTTATTTTGATGATTCAATAATTAATGAAAAAATTAATTTGAGAAAAAAAATAATTGACAAAATAATATAGAGGGTGTGTATTAATTGGAGGAACCTAGATGAGGGAGACACATCAATAGAGACAATAGATGAGAGAAATATTTGTATTGAGAAATCAAAATTGTCCTAATAATAGTGAAATTTTTTTAAATAGAATGATAAAATTAACGTAAAAGTTATATTTTGTGCATTTTTCTTTTTTCTTAAAAG